GGTCAGGAAGGCAGTTAGGCTGTACATGTCAGATGAGTCATGCAGATCAAATGCACAAGGTCAAATTCAGAACTCACGATTACATGCATCCCTTCAGTACTGACAACATGTGGGTAAAATGTGCCTGGTGCTTTTGAATTACTTACCCTGAATAAAATGTAAACAGCACTAGATAGGTAGTACATTTTATATTTAGGAGGAACTTCAATATACCTTTCTTATAATATATGCTTTTCCCTTTTTCACGTGCTGTTGTAACATAATTTATCATATTAACTTTCATTACATCACTGCAAGGGCTTTGAAAATGCTGAAACGGATACTGATCTATATGGGTTTATTTTATTCATAGTAGAACTTTAAACCAAAGGCAGAATTTATGTTGCAATGGGAAGCGTCTTCTCACAGACACCGTCCAGAGACTGTGGGTTTGGAATGAATGGCACAAGGTCTTCTGGGATTCCGGTCTACTTTGTAGGAGAGAAATTGATGCTTTCTGAACTGCTATGGATGTATTGCAGGTGCTCTGTAGTACCGATCTTTCCACGTGGCAGTACACAGATAAAATGACAATATTTGTTCAACATTTAGGGTAAAAAAAATGGGTTTGCTGGTAACTGGAGCCTCGTCTCCTCTTTACCTAGCTGTCTATGGGGCTGAGGGCTTCAATATCCTGGCATACCTGGTACAACATTCATGACTCAAAGGCTGGGAAGTTTTGCTAGGAAATAATTGTGGCATAACAAAATTCACAGGTGGCTGAATGAGCATATGTTTCAGCATAGATTTGCAGTGAAGTAACGTAACAAGTAAATGTTACATATTATATATAGCAAGAGCCAAACCAAATAAAAAAAGAGAAAGGAAAGTCATTCAAAGGACTATGTGCCATTAGTTACTATTATTAGTGATATTATTTCCTGTCCTGAAAGGTCTTTAGAAAATATGAATTCAGGGCTAACCTCCCATTGTATAATGAGCACAGGAAATGGAAATTATTTACTTAGATTGCTTCCAACAGTGCTATTATTGAATCAATACTATATTGCTAAATTGCTTCAGAGGTTAAACAAGGCATGACCCTGTGTATACTAGCCCCAGTTCAACTACTGATGCTACTTGGGACCTCGCCAGCTGGCTTTGTGCTTCTCACTCTGTATCTCAAAATAGAAATGATTAAGACTTGCCCTCTCCCTTTTGGGGAGTTAATGAGGAGTTCAGGGTGGAACTCTGAGCAGAGAGAGCAAGACAGCTCAGCAGTGAGAGGCTGGCCAGTCTCACGTGGTGTGAGACTCCAGCAAGTCAGAACAAGAAGGCCCCCAGACTTCTGGTTTGTGGCAACAGGACTAGTTCCCTCCACCAACACATCGCACTGGAGTTCCATGGTCCAAATCATGCATGCCTGAGTCTCACTGGAGGGATGGTAGGGGGACAGCATGCATTGGCTGGGTTCAACATGAGAATAGGGTTTGGGAGTTTATAAACCAGTTTCACAAATTGTCTTTAGGTAAAGAAAGTGGAGAGCCCACCCAACAGCCTACTAAGTACAAAAACCGTAATCACATGGCATTTGTCTTATTCCTACCAGATTCCTGCAGCATAACTGTATTAGACACGTATCCAGGAAAGCATATTTTGGATTACATAATATGCAAATATTCTGAGTAACTTCTTTATAGTTATATTATGAGTACAATTTTCAGTATAGATTAAAGGGTAGAATGGTATATTTAAAAGGGATGATTTGACTATAAAGAAACAGGAGGAACAGGTTATCACAAAGTACTTAGATTAGTTATTACCCTGAAGGAATTATTAAAAGATTCCTAGTTTTACCATAAGGTGGATGCAAAGGTTCTCCTTAACCTTATCTTCTCAAGTGAGGCTTATTTCCACAATTTTTGAGCATTTTATTTTTTCTAACCCTTGCTAACTTACCTATGTACTTTCCTAAAATGCTAGACTTTTAAGGATATGACCCAAAAGGACAAAAGCAAAAATCGCCCCACATATTTATTACAGTCATACTCTAACATACTGTAATATTCCACACACTATTCTGAGGCACTTTCCAGGACTGGCCCCGGGATTGCAAACACTAAGCTTGGGGATATCTGTATTTCTTGGTTGTGTTTTGATTTTTCCTCTTCCGCTCAGCTGGCAGAGTGCTTTCAGAAACAGATGTCCATACTTCATAATCATCATGAGAAGCTCATATTCTAATTATATGTGAATGACAGACAGTATAGAGTTTGCCTAATTAACTCACCCATGCTGTTTGTAGGTATCTCAGCCACAACTGCATTACAGCTCTCAGACCTGGAGTATTCAAAGACTTGCATCAGCTCACTTGGCTGTAAGTATGCTAGCTCTTTCTTCCTCCACAAAGGATCCTGGTCTTAATTCCATTTGTGTATCTTGTTTTCCTTATTGTCATACAATCTGGAGCACTTTACCCAAGCAATTCAGATAATGGCATGCCGAATGGAAGTTGTGTGTGAGGAAACTGGCACCATGCTTTTCCAGGGGGCCTTCTGAGCCCAGCAGTAGGCTTGCTTGGCCCATCCATCCAGTGTTTACCCACAGCAGGTTTTCTCAATCTCAACTCTATTGGTATTTGGGGCCAGATAATTCTTTGACTGGAGTGTGGGGAAAATATGTCCTGTGTATTTTAGGGTGGTCAGCAGCATCTGTGGTCTCTCTACCCCACCAGATGCCAGCAGCTCTCGCTTCCAGAGTTGTGACAACCCACAGTATCTCCAGACATTTCCAATGCCCCTGGGGGAATGCCATCTGTTGAGAACCACTCACCAGGAAAGTAAGCCAGTTCAGGACTTTTGTGATTTCCAGAGCATTCATAGAAAAGTCTGAAAATATGATAGTTCCTGGCGTTTCACCACTTTCCAGCCTGAGCCTGCAGCTCCAGCCCAGATACCTGTGTTTGTTTCCATCAGTTCCAGGGCTCTCTGTATTTGCCCAGTTTCCATAGGTTGGCCTGGTCTAGGGGGCAAAGCCAGGACGTCAGCTTCATGCAGATCCTTGGATATGCCGTGGCCCCGTGCTTAATGTTCCAGGCAATGCTCTTAGTCTTCTTAGACCTCTTTTTTCTCATCTGTAAACTGTAGTCCTAATTCCTTTTGAAGAGTCCTGTTGTGAGGATTAAATCACAATGCACATATGAAGTGCCACATGCAGAGCCCCTGGCATATAGTAGGTGCTCATGTTAACTCCCTCTCTGAATCCTACATCAGGAATTCTGAGAGGAAGATGAAATGGTACCTAGCTTCAAAGGGAAAAGGAAGGAAGGCAAATTTCCCCTTCATCTAATATTTTCTCGGAAAACACCATATATAGTTAAAAACCAGAGATTTGAATATTTAAATATTTTCAGTCTTTCATCTTCAAAGCCCTTCATGAGTTTGTACAGACCTTACAATCACATGAACGTCATGAGACCGCTGAACCATTCGTGATTTCCTGAGCCTTTGTCCATTCATTCTTCATTTGGTCAGTCAGTAGGTCTAAGCATTTATGGAGCCCGTACTCAGTCAGTCAATCAGTGCAGCTTGTGCCAGACCCAAGTATCCAGAGGTGAAGGGTATGACCTGGGTCTTTAAGTCCAGTGGGAGGTGGAAGCAGGAAGAGGAAGCAAGCAGCATAGACCTGACAAGTGCTGGCATGGGGCTTGTAGGGATTTGGAGCAAAGGACAGCTCCAACCATGGGGAGCCGGAAACGCTCTTGAGGGAGAGAAGGGTGCCGAGTGTGGAAGGGCAGCAAGATCAAGGGCAGGTGTTGGGGGAAGCACGATCGTCATAGGCCTTTTATTTTTTTCTGCTTTCATTCCACAAATGTCTCTGATGCTGGACGTGTTTGTGATGTGTTTTCTCAGAATTCTAGACGACAATCCAATTGCCAGAATTTCACAGCGGTTGTTTACAGGATTGAAGTCCTTATTTTTCCTGTAAGTATTCCTCTACATTTCGATACATCTGTCTATAAATTGCAAGGACACCAAACACTAGCTTACGCACAGGGCTTTAAAAAAATCAAGTTAAAATTTGTATTACTCAAAACCTTTCCTGTCTTTCCAGCCACAATATTACTGTTGCTACTTCCTGGCCGTATCTCCAGGTATATTTTGAGTCTACCAGTTGATTTCTTTTTTAATTTCCTTTAGTCCTCAGGCATGTTTTTATCTGCAGTTTTTGACCAAAGATACTATTCATGTTTATCTCCTGACTACATATAAGTCTGTTAGAATCTCCCAGGGGGTCAGCTCCAACTACATTTTTAACAGAGTAAAATGTGCCTGTGCCCAGCAAGAGTCACTGAAAATCCTAAAATCTTCATCCTACAGAGCTTTTCTCATAATTACATTTTCCATGCTTATTAATACACTGGAATGATTTATCAGCAGGGTTTTATTATGTTCCTTTACAGTTGATCATATAGCTCATTATTTTTCCATTTGTCAAAAGGAGCCACAATATCATAAATTAATCATGCCGCTTAACATGCTGATGAGCTGTTTTCTCTCCCCAAATGCCTCCTATTCTCACTTCTTAGATTTAATGCAGTTTCCAATGCAGCACTTTAATATTAGAAATGATTAGTGTTTCCCTTAAAAAGAAACTTTGGATGTACGATGCTGGAAATGATTGTAAATTTGAAATTCACAAGGAAAATTACCATGGACTTCAAAGTTATTACCCAATATATACTTTTGATTCATTTCATAAAATTAAAGTGCATATTTATTCCTAGGTTGTAGATTGTACTTTTCCATTTGTGGTTTCTGTGACGTCTGCTCCCTTACCGACACCATATCCATGTCTAGAGGCCATTCTGAAGAGGCAGTTACATTTATATTCTTCATCCTACTTTATCGATTTTAGCATGCACATTTTCAATTTGTGGAAACAGTAAAAATGCTGTTTGCAAAGTGGCAGGTCACTGTGTTTCTAATGTCTTATTTGTGTTCAGGTCTATGGTTAATAACCACTTGGAAGCCCTTCCCAAGGAGATGTGCACCCAAATGCCTCACCTCAACTGGATGTGAGTATGCATTTAGGGGTTAATTTGCTATTTGACTGGATTAAGGAAAGTAATCCTGAAGTTAATTCATGATTACCGAAAAAGCCCATCCATGATCTTCTTTCCAAACCCCAAATCCCATTGTTACTTCCTGGTTTAAATCTTTGGAGAATTCCCACGGCTGTCAGGGTAAAGTTCAAACTTCCCCCCGAAGCACTCAGGACCTCTCATTTTCTATCCCTCCCCCCATCTAGTCTCTTTCCCTGCCCCCCTCATGTGCCACCAATCCACAGCTCCCCTGATCAATTTCCTGAGCACATACTGTTCCTTCACTTTGAACAGTCTTGCTCAGTTATTCCTTTGATTAACTCCAACATTTCCTTCAAAAGTCCACTTAAGCATCACTCCAGGAAGCCACCCCGGACATACCAACCAATTTCCGTGGCTGCCTCCATGTTCCCGTTACACCGTGAACAGACTTCCAGCAAGCCACCCATTGTCTACACCACACCCCTATCTCACAGTACTATCAGCATAGAATCGTTCATTTACTTGTTTGCCCTGTACGGTTCTGTAAATTCTGAGGGCAGAAACCTATCTAGTGATTTTATATCCTGATATTGACACCATGATCAACACATAATAAGTGCTCAACAAATCCTTATTAAATGAATGTGCTAAACCATTTCTATTCCTTGTTAGCTTTTAACCAATACGTCATTAAAGCATTTATGTAAGTCTCGCTTATGTAAAGTTTCCCCACCACTACCTGCCGTTCCCTGTCATGTTCACCTTCTCAGTCTCCTGAGACAGGCAATACTGTCACAG